AGAATCCGTAGTTATAAGAAGGTAAATGATTTAATTGTTAGTTTAATTTGATTGATTAAAAAAAATAAATAAATAAAAAATATTTTTTTTTTATAGGACTTACCTCTAAACAATCCAAGCCTTAAAAATCTATAACTACAATAAAATAAGTAATTTAATTATTAGTTTAATTTAATTGATTAAAAAAATAGATAAATAAAAAAATATATTTTTTTCATAGACTTACCTCTAAATGATCCAAGCCTTAAAGAATCTGTAGTTACAAGAAGGTAAGTGATTTAATTATTAATTTAATTTAATTGATTAAAAAATAGATAAATAAAAAATTATTTTTTTTTCATAGGACTTACCTCTAAATCTTAAAGAATCCATAGCTACAAGTAGGTAAGTAATTTAATTATTAGTTTATTTAATTGATTAAAAAAAATAAAATAAATATTAAAATATTTTTTTTTTCTATAAGACTTACCTTTAAACGATCCAAGCCTTGAAGAATTTGATAGCTACAAGTAGATAAGTAATTTAATTGTTAGTTTATTTAATTGATTAAAAAAAAATTAAAGAATATTAAAATATTTTTTTTTTATAACACTCATCTTGTAATAATTCAGGTATATTAGCCTTGCTATTTATATAAAATTAGATGCTGAGGATGACAGATTTTTTGCTAGACTGATTAAGAAGAGGACCTATTTATAGAAGCTGAGTGTGATAACTTATATCATTTCTTTCCTTATTTCAAACTATCATATCTATAATAGCCAAATCCATTTTTTTTAACCAAATCACTGATTAATGTTTGAGAATCTGATAGTCTACAAGAAGGTAAGTGATTTAATTGTTAGTTTAATTGAATTGATTAAAATAAATAAATAAATAAAAAAAAATATATATATATATTTTTTCATAGGACTTATTTCTGAACGATCTAAGTCTTAAATAATCTGGTAACTATAAGAAAGTAAGTAATTTAATTGTTAGTTTAATTAAAATGATTAAAAAAAAAATAAAAAAAAAAATATATTTTTTTTCATGAGATTTACCTTCAAACGATCTAATTCTTAAAGAATCTGATAGCTACAAGTAGGTAAGTACACAATGTCATTGTGGGTGTTTAAGGACAGAAATGTCTGTCCCTCATAGCATTGTGTACTTGCGAGAGTTATAAAATCAATATCGATTTTTTTATTATATTAGAAAGCTTTTAAAAGCTCTAGAATCTTAATTTCTATATCAACTTTTTAGTTATATTTTTAAATCTAACGAAAATTATTATATCAATAATTGATTCTACGTGAGTTAGCTCATTAATTAGCATATTAACTACTTAAGTCTAATGAAAATAAGTCTAACAAGAATTTTGTCTTATTTTTTTGTTAGACTTATTTATGGGGTTTCGATGTATTGCTATAAGATTACTTTCATGAAATATTTTATGACCAACTAGTGCTAGATCTGCTAATATTTTGCGCAGTCAATGCTCTTCTCCTATTAGTCGTACTAGATTTACCTGTGTGCGATACTAGACATCTTCCATAGTTTTTCCAAATACAGTATTGTTCATTAATTTTCACAAATCTTTTTCGAAGGCATTTTTGGCATCACGATGTCGCATAGTATTGGCCATAATATATGACTTTATCCATAGAGACCAGTATGTAAAATTCAGGTGCACAATGTGCACATATGTACATTAAATTTTTATATGTACATATTACACAGCATAAAATGCAAATAATTACTAAAAATAGATAAATTATATATAAAAATGGATAAATTATTTATAAAAATGGAAATACTATGTAATACATGCATTAATTTTCTATTTTTAGTACAACTTGTGCACATGACTTTTGGTTTAAATTTTATACACTGATAGAGACTAGTCAAATTCTAGTACTTGATAAACATGTTCAAGTTCTATTCCTAGTTCGAGATATTGCTGAAAATTTTGATAATGAATAATATAGTGATCTTTAGTCTCCAATATTACTACCAATTTTTCTGTTTCGGTAATTTACCCCACTCAATTTATCAATTAAGTCTTTATTTTGATGAGAACTAAGCTCATTGTACTTAACTATTTGACGTTCTGGGCAAAGTGGATAGTTAGTATGTGTTGGATAAAGGTGTTCTGGATATTTTAATTTTACTTCTCAAGTACTACCTCATTTAGCAGTTAGAGAAATAGACTGAATATCAGGCAGTTTATCTAGGTCGAGCCATCAGAATCCTCTTGTCAGTAAATATTGTAACATAGCCTATCTGTATAAATTATTAGTATCTAAATATAGGAGCTATTTATTTACCTTATGTTTATTATATCCTTTCATTCTGAGAAAATTTGCTTTCAGTTCCCTTATCTTTGAGAGAATGACAGATTATTTCTTCTCCTATTAATCTTTCTTGTACTGTCATGTCTATATGTTCTTTGAAGTCTTCTTTTATCATGGAATTTAATAGAATCGAGTGAAGTTCGACTGCCTTTTTTCTGAGACACTTTTCTCACTAGACTCTTGAAAAAAATATCATAATTAAGCGTAAGCAAATAAAATAATGAGACTATGCAATTATCTCAATTTCATGCTGTTCACATTTAATAAAATAAGATCCAACTTTATATCTACCTTTTATACTTTTCTCATCGTCATGGCCTAATTTGCATAATAGGCATAATGTCTTATCAGTAATACCATAATAATCGAAGTCTTCACTACTATATTCTCTATATAAGTTAGGATATTGATCCAATGTCTTGTTACAAAAATCAGTGCAGTCATAAGTTAGACTATTGGGTTGAGAAATAGGTGGTACCACTTCTATTTTATATCAAATTTTTTCAGAGCAGATTCATTGAGAACCTGAGATTCAGTAGGCGCATCCGAACTAGTGATATGTGATAAATCAGAATATTTCTTATCACTTTGTGAACTCAGTTCATAAAGTTGTATCCTCATACGAATGCTATAATCAAAAGGTATATTGTTTATAATATATCAAATATTTTTATACGTCATTTTTGAGATAGAATTAGCAGAGAAGGAATGAATTCGATTTATTTTATCTATACCTATTACATTAAAAAGTATATAAAACTTCTTAGCCTGCTCAAATCTTTTTCGTAAAAGTGCATCAGAAGTACCTGCAGGAAGCTGAGCTTTAACTTTTATATTTAGAATTCTACTGACTGTATTAGACTCTGGATCTCGCCTCGCCTATAGATAAGAGCTTTTCCAAATTGACAGTAACAAAAGATAGCTTCTTGAGTCGCATTATTAACAAGGGTTACAGTATTACAAAGTTTTTCATACAAAAGAGAAAGGATTAGCATTCCCATTTCTATAATATTAGCATTTGAATCTGATTCTCTTTGGGAAGATACTGAAGGTATTGAATCATCTAGGATCATTTTAGTGTCCGCCTCTTCTGTCACTTCCTGAATGAATTTTTCCTTTGTTTTTTCTGATTTTCTTTACGAAGTACCCTTTTATCAACTAAAACCTGCTTATCCTTTTCAGAGGAAATGGTTTTCACTTTCGTAAGCTTCTCCTCCTGCCATCTAATTTCATCACTAACTATTTTTTTATTCACCTCACCCAGGAAAGAGTCCATAGCCTTTTCCTCTGATGACTTCGAATTAGCAGGTACTGTTTCATTTGCTAATATAGAGTTAGGTATGTCAGCAGGTTTTTCAGAAGAGAAATCCTTTCGCAGATGCTTAGAATCTTCTTCTAACTTTACAACTCTAGTCTTAAGTTCAGCATTCTTAGCATCATGCCTGATATTTTCAGCATCACGTTTAGTTTTCTCGACAGCAGTATCTATTCTAACTTTTTCCAATTCCTCGATTCTATTTCTGAGCTTAGTTCTTAGTTTTGTAATCTTATCTTTGATCTCGTCATACTTAGCCTTAAACTCAACATTCTCAGCTATAAGTCTGATGTTTTCTTACTTAAGTAAATCAATCTTAGATGCCATTTTTGAAAATAATTTTATACACTGTATATTTACATTCAAAATAAAAAAATTCACATATTTTCTAAGACCATGCAGTCCCGCAAATTTGCCAAGAAAATTTTATTATCTGACACATACTAACTCATACGAAAAAACATGAATATATATTTATGAAATTGACATCCAAGATAACTTTATTGGTATAAAATAAATTACATGATACTTGAGATACATTTTAAAATTAAATCTAATTATTTATGATCAGAAGATACTGTGAAGCTTTTTCGCTTAAGTCATTTTGATCTAGCTTCTGACGCATTTAATAACAAAGAAATGTTAATAATTGTAATATTTCGCAAAAGTAATAATGCCTTCACAAGTTGCAACATATCACCCCCACTGGCTGATTGTATTGTGATTTTAACTGAACGCAAACAGAAAAGGTGGTGAATATCATCAGTATTCTTAATTAAAATGTTCAGGTGCATTATTTTCAACGATTTAGAGTCCTATAATCCCAAACTCATTTTTATCTGGTTTGCAACCTTTATAGACCTAAGCCATTCTATTATTCATTTTCCTTCATAGCTTTATATTATCATTCTCTTCTTTGATTCTGGTGTAGGCTATACGCGAAGATTACATGAAGATTCCACGAATATAAGTTAATATAATTTTTTTCACTCCTTTCTATGAACATAACATCAGGTCTTTTACCCTGTTTTCTGTCTTCCTTTCTATCAGCACTAGCTACACTTTGTCGCTTTGCATTGAACAGAAATAAATTTATAAGTTAGTTGCTAACATATAATATAAGTATATGAAATGGAAACTTATGTGCTAAGCAAAGCAATTTTTCTAACTGGAAGTTTTTTCAATATAGCTCAAAGTAGAGAAACTATAACATTTATCACGTAAGTTCATTTGCTCTATGTATTTTTGAATTTTGAACTAAAAGCTGGATTCCTTTACACATCACCACTTTGTGATAAAGATCTTTCTTAGCAATTAGTAACTATAATAAATTTACGATAATAATTTACTTACTGGGTATTAAGGATTTCTCCACTTATCTCCACTAGATCTTCTTCTGACTCCTTCTAAGTTTTGTTATGCAAGAGCTTCAGTAGTAATTCATTCAAGTTATTAATGTTAAAATTTTTCACAAAGGAATCGCACTTTTCTTGAATTATTTCTGATACAACTGGTTGTATATTCAGTAATGGCTTCATAAAAGACTGATGTGCAGATTTTTCCAAATTTTTTACTAGGTCAGAATCATCACTTATTACCTAGTTAGCAATTGCATCTCTCCATAACAAATCAAAAATAGATATATTTTTTAACTTTTACGTATTTCTTCAACATGTGAAGTTGTGCTTCCCTATAAATTAAAAGAAAATATATTATGTAAGTTTTGCACTGTAGCCAAGAGATTTGACAGAAATTTACTGTAAGCTTCTTCTTCAAGTCCCCCATATTATCCTTAATTTCTTTATCACTAAGAGGTTTAATTGCCATTTCTATATCGCAAAGACTACAAACATTCTCAAAAGTAATATAGAACTGATGTATTAAAAATACATGTTAATTTTCACTCTTATAATGAATTTTCTATATCACTCACAAGTGTTATCAGAAATAATATAGCAAAGTTGCTATTTCTGTATAGTCTATACATTATAAGCAACTTCATTTCTACATATAGACTCCCAAAACTTGAAAGACTAAAGTCAGAGTACCCTATATATCCTTGGAGTTAAATTTAGTACTAGCAGACATCAGATACTCAGAGTAATCTCCATGTTTTGTTCATAAAGTTGAATTTATTACTAACAGGTTATTAGATACCTCCATTGACTAAAGCCTTTATGAGTTTGAAAATCTTGTGATAAAGAATTGCACTAATCATCATTTGTTAATAAAGAGATATTATAAAGCTTATTAACTGACCTGTAATGAAACTGTAAGAAGTTTGTTTTATGCTAATAAATCTTGAGAATAATCATTTTTTGCTAAAGAAATGGCGCTGTTTACTATACTTCTTAAATCATTTTATTTAATTCATAGATTATCTTCCATAGCTTGATAGACTACAGAAAAGCAGTAATATATTCCAGTGGAAAGGTAGTAAGAAAATTATAGATCTTACTAGCCAAGTTGTTAGACATGTTTGTGTAAAAAAATATTATTAGTTTTTGTTAATGTTATAAATTATAAAGCAACGAATAACTTGAATTCATATACTGCCCTTTTAATTCTCCATTCATGACTTCTCTGAGCCTGAGTTTATGTTGGTATCAAAGTAGAAGAATATGCAATGGACTCTTATACCAAAAGTTTATGTTTGAGAAAAGGACATGCGGAATATGCATTGTAGATCTTAACATTACAAAGACGTTGGGGAATATGCATATACATACTTTTTTTTATTTCACTTGCTCGACTGCTTAGTAATAAAGGCCTAGTAATATTATATAAATATACTCTGGTCAGAATCTAGTAGGAATAGCCTGTAGCAATGTAATGCTCTGAAAGAAATAAACTTATAAATTCAGATAGATAAGAAAAAAATTCAAAATATTTTAGGGATTGATTTATGTGTGAAATTATTTTATCACACAAGCAGTCACATAGAGTTACAGATGATTTGTAGTGTATCACTTATTATATCATATACACTTTAACGAAGATTGAAAACATGCTAATTTATGTCATACATGCCTACATGCATTGTGATTGGATAATATATTATTTTATTAAGATAATATTCAGGATCTGGGTTAAAGACTGATCTGAAAAATTCAGTGCACTAATTTACTATTATTATTCAAATTTGATAAATCTACAGTAACATCCTTTTCATGAATATAGTATAGGAATTCTGATGGCAGTGAATTGCATATTCTTTCTATTTCTACTGATTTATCTCTATATTTCACATGGTCTAAAATTTTGATGATATTCTCAAAGTTATATTTTTTATCAATAAGATAAAATTCAGGATTCTGTAATCATTTTAATATGTTATACTAAGCTGTATCTCTAACAACTATATAGTTTTGCTGATATAATACTCTAAAAGTAGCTAGGTATGCTACAGTATATAATCGTCCATATAACTGATTTCTCTTTACTTCTGTTTAAGTAGTAGCAGAATAAACGTTATGCCTATTTTCTACATAAAATCAGTCTCTCATATAATTAGATTCTATTAGTTTTCCATTAATAAAATGATATATTTTACTATGAGGAACAATATCTAAAAACTTCTTATTGTCAGGAGTACCATCATTTCTCATCATCTTCCAAACCTGTTTTGCTATAGACTAATGTCTTTTTTTGTAATTCTTGTAAGCTCGCTGGATAATTACTGCATAAAAATTCTTAAACTGATAGTTGAAAAATACTTTATTAAAATAGATTAGAAGATCTAACTCAGAATAAGTAGATCATGCATAGCATCTTGGCCAATTTTTCACAGGTGATAGCGTAAAAAATAAATTATATTTCAGTTGAAAGCAATAGTCTATAATTAAAATATTTTTCAGAACCTTTCAGTTAAACCAGTTAAACAATCGTGACTTTTATTCCATCTCTTAATCTAAGCACAGTGTCTTTTGGCTGATTGAGATAGTTTAAGTTGTTTTGTTTTGCGTATATAGATGAAATAAATATTTTGCTTCCACTTGTTCTATCAAACTGCAGAAGGGAATCAGGTGTAATTTTTTCAGGATATAATATCCCTTCCAGTCAGAAAATTTTTCACGTAATATTTCTGACTTTGAACTTCTAAAAAGGTGGGCTTCTATAATTTTATTAGCCTTGAAGCATTTGTTATCCTAATAATGTTTTATCAAGTCTTCAGGCTTAATCTCATACTCATATCTCTGTTATCTACTGAAATATATCTTTTTTGGTTTTACATCAGTGATCTTTACTAATTTCCAATAATTAAAGCAAATAGCCATTTTGCAATTGTGAATATTAGGTCTGTGATAACTAATGGCAACTTCTCTTCTTTCATAGTTACTATAATATGTCTTAGTTACTTCTTGCCCAGATGATCTGAAAAAGCAAAATATATAATAATAGCTTTCATAACCTTCAGTAATCAATGCTTGCAAAGCGTCTTTTACTTGAATAGCCTATTGCTGTGAAGTTTTATACGAACTAATAATAGATAAATTATCATATCTTTTTTTGACCTCAACCATCTTTTTGAATTGACCAGAATAAGAAAAACCATAACAGTTTCTAATATATTCAATATCATATCCAGAACAAAGATTGATGGATTTAGGCACAATTTTATTATAATCATTATCTAAAATAATATCAATACACTTATTAAGCCTTGGTCTGTTAATATGAGTTTCTGACATATTCAATGATTTATAGCAATTTCAATGATTTATAGTAATTTCAGTGATTTATAGTAGCTTATAACATGTATACTATAATAAATATCAGATTCATTTTTATTCGATTACAAGCATATCGGGATTTATATAGAAGCATATCTTAGCTATACTAATTTTATATTCACTGGTTTGTAAAATATTATGATTATAAGCAGATTGGAAGATTTATATATGCATGTGAATTGTTTGTGAACCCTTCCGATCATTTCTCTTGACGTAATGTTTTGATTAAATTAGGCCTGAGCCAATAATGACTAAATAATTTTTCAGAACCATTCCTAAAAGCCAAAAGCACTTTGCATGACATATATCGTATCACAGGTATCACCCTAACTCTCTGCCAGTTCCTCAATAGATGATCATCCAATAAGATTTTACCTTTCTTGATCTTGAGATATATTGATCAAATTAATTAATCTTGTAATAGATTGTGAATTGAATGAAATATTTTATTCAAATTTATCAAGTTCATACAGGTTTTCTGAAAATTCTTTATTATATTTTTTTTTAGATAAATGCCTCTCCATTCTAATTCCAAGGCTAAGGAATATAGAATTGGTAATTATTGAAAGCGAAACAATATGACACTATCAAAAAGAAAGAGAACTCTCAGATCTTAAGCTATAAATGAGAGTTCTAGCATCATTTTAATTCGCATCACTACCCTCACTACCATTACTACTGCTACTGCTACTACTATTATTATTTGCAAAGCTAACTCTTCTTTTTCTCTCCCTTTCGACCTATGGAATTATTTTATCTATTAATGTGGTTCTTGGGATTTTTAGATGACGATAGAAGCTGGCTAATGTGACGGGACTAAGTTTGATTTCTTGAGATAGTATATTATACATCTGTATAGGAGAACATTTCTCTTTTTTTCTTCTTTCATCAAATATGGCTATGAACTTGACCCAGTACATTTGTATTTCATCTGTATATTCAGAATATTGAGATATACGGCTTGTGGAAGAAAATCTGTTAGAGCTGGCTAGGTGAAATAAGATGCAGACCAGATTATGGTTAATAGATCGCAAAATGGATGAGTCCTGGAAAATCAAACACATAGGATCTTACCTTGCGAAACAGCCTTATTCTTCCATTTATTCTCAGTATGCATTCTCTAAAGTTCGTTATTTAAAGCCAGAATTAATCTTTTTAGATCATCATTTCTTTGACTTCCGCTCGTCTGATTGTTACGAAAATAGATGAATACTACTACAAAAATAATGTATATGTTTATATTTTCCAAAAAAAAATGATTTTGAGTGTCTTCATGCTTAAGAGACCTTGGGATATTATTTCATAGAATACGATCACGATTGTGAATAATATGATCAAAATAATGTTAGAATTTGAGAGCATTTTTTGAAATAAATTTATTAAAATTTTTGATTGAAAATTGTTTTGTTTTGATGATTGATTGAATTATACGTTTTGCAGAATTATAATATTACTTTTATTTGATTTTCTTACCAGACGTTCCACCCAGCATTTTTCTAAATAAAATTTCTCTGCAGTTAATAGCAATGATCATTGCAAAACATGAAAGTCCCTGAATCTTCGCTGGAAATCATATTGCCCAATAATTAACCGATCCAGATTTTCTAAATTACCCTCTATTAATATGCATACTCTTAAGCAATAAAAAATTAGTATGTAGATTCCAGAGGAATCACACCAATCACCTCCTATACGAGAAAAATAATTGACTATATTTCGCAGGTCACCTAGTACCCTAAATGTTTTTATTTGCAGTACATTAAGCTAAAAATAAATTACATGATGTGGGACTTGATCCATAATATATGATGATTTTTCTATGCTGGACTCGTTTTATCATGATAGTCTATCCTAATAATTACGTCTGTTCTATCCACCACTCAATAACCTACTATATTTATTATTTTTCATCCTGATCTTAGTCGTAATACTAATGAGAACCTTAAAAGGGAACTATGTATTAGTTACAAGCTTTGAAGATGCCTTCTTGCAAATGCTCAGCTTAAACCAAAAGTAAATACCTACCCTTAATTGTTTAATGTCTCGTCCAGTGTTTCGCTAAGTAACTTTTGTTTTACTGGCACTTTTTCACACAGAGATATGCAGTGAGTATGGCTGTTATACTGTATTTGCTTATTTATATAGTTGCAATATTCGTATTTACGGGTTGTAAAATTTCATTTACCTCGAGAAAGGAATTTTTTTTCATTTAAGCGAATATATATGCGATTCGCACATCACACAGCTCCTATTTTTCAGAATTTTTCCAGTATTTTCTACGCATTCAAGTGGCCTAAATTTTTAAAAAACTGTTCCCCTAGGGAACGATCAGTCATGTGATTTTCCCTGGCTTGAATGTATATGTGAGAAGATATTATTTCAATCTACAATAAGAATATTCATGTGAGATTATAATTGTAATAACAGCAAATAAAACTTTATTTATTTTAAGAATATACATTTACATTTAGCATTATATATTAGAAATAAAGGTAATAATTTTAAAGTGAAATATTATTCTAACATTAAATCATACTATTCTTTTTGAGTTTTTTTTTGGTATTGTTGTTGTTTCTAAAAGGTTTTTAATAGTAAATAACTCTTTTGAGTTTGTTCGTAAAGCAATTTTTTTTACTTTATTAACAACCTTAAGAACACCAATTATATCATTCTGTAATCATCAGAAAGAAATAATTAGAAAATTCGATTAGCAAATCAACAATACATAGAAACATACCTTTAACTTCAACACATTCTTTAGGGCATTGAGACTTTCTGAATACTTCTTAATGTTGTTCTGATTTGATAGTGGTATGACTCAAATACGTAATAATATCTGATATTCACGTCATAATACATAGCGTATATTGTACCATTAAAACCTTTTTCAAATGTATAAAACAGGTTTCACTAACTTTCTATAATAATAAAAAAATTTTTTTATCTATCATTACCTCCGTGAAATATTCCATGCAGAACAATTTTTTTCACCATCTTGATCATTTCTTTCGTAAATTTCAATTTCTTCAGTAGACGATCTAACTGATCTTTCATTTCCCTAAATAATTTATATTTGTAAGAGATTGGCTTCAAATTATGAGGATCTTTGTCGGTGAAAGTTTCTGCGCTGAAATACTCTATATTGTCAATACAAAAAATAATATTGATCTTATACCCTGATTGCTTCTTTTCTGACTCCTCCCTTGGTATATTCTTACGCATAATTGAAGCAAGAGACATTTTCTCACAACTGAAAATAGAAAAATAAGGAATCAGGATGGAATACTGAGATAAAAAGCTAAAATCAACAGAAAATTCCATACTCACTGATGAATTTGGATCTCCTCACAGTTAGGAAATAATCATCGATCAATGGTGTCAAAAGGTAGCAATTGATCCAGCCTTCAGAATTTCGATTGAGAAGCAGATTTTGTGGGCTTCAAATAAGGATAACTTAGTGACAAGAATAAAGGCAAAGCAAATTTTTATAAGTGTCAGAACTAGATCACATGTAATATTTACATAAAAAGTGCAAAATGCTCCAAAGAAACAGCATATTAGACCTACAATTTATCAGCGAATTGATAAATCCAACTCATTTTGTAATGTTTATCAAATAAATATATTTCTCCTAATGGCACGAATGAAACTTGAAGTCTCTTACAGAGATTACTGCAACTATCACTCTAAAGAACAAGTTAAACTGAGATAATTATTAGAAGTAAAAGAAAATTACTTATATAAGACCTTGAACCCTACATTCTCGATTAACTCATCAATATATTTAGTCGTGTTATTAGTGATAGGCTCCCAATGATAATCGTGAACAAGTTGTGTTCTTTCTATTAAGTATGTGTTTGTGATGTCAATTATATTCGAACAAATTGGTTTCCTAATAGTAAATATAAGGGTAATTAGTTGGATAGCTTGAACTAATATGCTAATATCATATTATTAATTAGAAATATTTTATATTATCTACATCTTTGATTTTACTCGCAGTTTCTCTTCACTTAATCGTTTGAGTAGACTGTTATATTTGATGAGGTGGAATACGTGATTTGCCGTATCCAATACTATTAATTCCGCTTATACCATTAGTCATTTTCGTGCTAATAAGTAGATTTACGTTTTCCTTAGTAGATTTGACCTGTTCACATAATGAGCGGAAAAGTTTTTCGAGAGGAATTCGCATAAACAAATTCTCATAATAGGGTTATACTCTATACTGACTTTCTTAGTGCTAACTGACTCTCTGCTCTATAGATATCAAAAGTGGTCATTAAAAAATACTTGCATAAATTTAAAAGTTTATCATTATACTGACCTTTTTTGAAAGTGATAGCTTTTTTTTCCATTTTGTTGAGCAGTTTTTGAGAGATAAAAAATCATTATCATACTAAACACAAAAAGAAAGTTAGTTTCTATCGGACAATCTCTATCTCACAACTTCTAGCTAAAAAATCATGCGTCTGTACCTTTTGGCTTTGTTCTAATAATCCTGTGAAATTACTACTGTTGACTTTACTGTTAACGTTTCTAACTATATTTCTATTCCCATTGATTGATTGGTAAATATGGATCTGACTACGTAAGCGCTTTTTCTCTCACTCTTTAGCCTTTTGATGGTCTAGTTGAGAACCCTAATATGGAAGATTTAGAATTAGTGATGGTATTCTTTGACTAATGCTAAATTCATCGTTTATTTCCCATTCCACCAAACAACATCGCAACTGAGTAGGTAACCTGTATTCTAATAGGTTTAATGTTAGATCGGCAAGTAGCCTTTAACATCAGATAAGTTATCTGTGTACCAACACCAGTTTCGTAGCTTGGCAAGTAATCTTGAATGATCGGAAACTGAATAGGTCTCTGTCATGCTACTTTTCCCACTTATAAACTCAATAAAAAAATATTTACTCGCCTCTCTATATCTATTAAGTAATAATTGTGTACTATTCTTCCTGTCACCTTGTTCATTATCAATGATTGTTATTAAGCATTTTATGTAATTATCTATTTTCAGCTGAAACGGTTCTAGTTTGCATTTATTTAAGTAATCAAGGACACTCTAGGATGCAGGGTTTTAATCGAAGTATTTGTTAGACATAACTATCTATTATAAAAGTAATAATATAAAAAATGATTTATTTATTTATTTCTTTCTGGTCAAAAGAGTGTATGTATTTATAGCTCACGCGTATCTATTTGGCGTAGTAATATGATACAATAAGCTTACCTATTTACTGAATATCTTCCTGTGTGATCGATCTCACATGACTGGCCTTATACTACAATTATGTTACAATCGTGAACTTAAGTTTATTGCTTGAAGTATTACAAGTAAGACAATATTCTAACTTATCCTGGAAATACAACTTCACTAATTCAGGATCATAAGAAAACTGATTCCTATTTTTGCAGTACTACAAGCTATATAATCCATAATTCCCATGTATTCTATTACAAATAGGATATAGTGAGCTTCACGACTGAGGTGATGTAAAATCATAATTATCAATCCCTCTGAAACTATTTCTGAATTTCAAGTATGGGAAGTACTCTAAGACAGATTTGATAATTAACTCTGAATCAAGTTTCACTTCAAAGGTAATAGGCTTAAAATCAGAGGCTTGAAGTTCTGCTGACATATTTATCACAGCTTTTGGTAATTGCCATGGCTCATTTCCAGTTTCTTTCTTATATGTTTTATATAATTTAAAGTGAATTTTATCTGTCAAAACGCTTGGTAATCCACTTAATTTGGCATACCAATCTAGATATTCAGGGTTAATATTTTATTAGACTTAGTCATTTTCCTTTTTATGTGACTGCAAATAATTTAAATCCCTGCCCTTTTGTTCAAGAACTGCAAGGTGAAAGGATTGAAAAAAGAAAACCTATCTTTTAAGAAATATATTAGTTTTCTTCCATTCTGAAATCTTTGATTGAGTGGCAACTATCTCAATTTCACACTGTTTACATTTAATAAAGTAAGATCCTGCTTTATATCTATCTTCTATTTCTTCATCATCATGACCTAATTTGCATAATGGGCAGATATAGTTCCCGCATGATGTCTCATCAGTAATCCCATAATAATTGAAATTTTCACTACTACATTCTCTATATAAATTAGGATATTGATCCAATATCTTTTTGTGAAAATAAGATCAGTCATAAGTTGGATTAGTCATAGAAATTTGTGGATGAGATGCAGGTGAAATATTTACTCTAGACTTTAAAGATATATTAAGTGCTTATCCTTCCGATGTGTTAGAAGTAAGTGACAACTCAGAATTTTTCTTATCACTTCCTGAACTGAGATCAAGATGTGACAACTCAGAATTTTTCTCATTACTTAGCAAAGTGTCTTTTGACTGAGTACAGGTGGATAATTCTATCTTAATACTGTAGTCAACTAGCATATTATCTATGATATACTGAATATCTTTATACATTATTTTTAAAATACTGCTAACAGAAAATGAATGTATCTGATAAATTTTATCCATGTCTATTGCATCAAAAAGCTTTCAGAGTTTCTTGGCTTGCTCAATTCTTTTCCATAAAAGTGCATCAGAAGTATCTGCAGGAAGTTGAGTTCTAACTTCCATATTTAAAATTCTATTGACAGCATTGGATTCTGAATCAACTTGTTTTTCAGATGCTATTTCACTTCATCTCTGAATAAGAGCTTTTCCAAATTGACAGTAACATATAATAGCTTCTTGGATCGCACGATCAGCAAAGTTCTCAGTATTAAGAAGTTTTTTATACAAAAGAAAAAAGGTTGTTCCCATTTCTACTGCTGAGGAATCACAGCTTTATACTGATTATTCTAGACAAATATCCAAAGAATTCGAGTTTGGCTCATCCATAGTATTAGAACATTTAGTGTTTGAATTCTCAGATGCTTCCTAAATGAATTTTCCCTTTGTTCTTTTTTGCGAAGTATCTTTTTGTCAACAGATATCTGTTTACTTTTTTCAGGAGAGATGGGTTCCACTTTTGCAAGCTTTTCATCCCATTTTCTCTAATATTTTTCTTTGCAGGGAATGTCTCATTCTGATAAAAATAGGAAAAGGAGATTATTACGTTAGTTGCCAATCAGAATAAATGAAAAGATTATTTTAGCTAATTTAAATTTTAAGCGCAATATCCAATAGGCATTTGCTAAATTTTCGTTAAACTTGTTTTTTTATATTTTTTCATTAAAGTTTTATGTTATTTGATGAGCTAGCCTATGCTGAACTCATTTTTGACTAAGGAAAAGTTGAGACAATTCCGTGGATTTTGCAAGGGTGACATTTCGTTAGACTTTTATATAAAATATACTTTTTAGTAAGCTAGATTGCATTGAACTCATTCTTGATTAAGAAAAAGTTAGGACAAAAATCTCGTTAAACTTATTTAACAATTATGCTATTTAATGAGCTAGCTTGTATAGAAGGTATTCTTGTATATA